TTGACATATACCACATCTTTTGGTTGCCAACAATCATGCTATAGCCAAAGTTAATGAGTCCCAAAAATAGTCGGATATCTGGAAATGTGAAAAGGGACTAAGCGAAATAGCGATATCATCTGAGCTATGCCGGCAAATCCGTCTCACTATTGGGATTTTCTGAAATCAGTTTTATCCATTATTTAAAGTAAAAAATGACGGCCTAACAAAAAAATAGCGACAAAGTCCTCTACTACTTCCATGCAAATAAAATGGCCATTGTAGTTCATCATTTGGGCGAGAATTCAGTAAATTCCATAGTTTTTTCTTCTGTGATGGGACATTACACTGAACTTTATCGAATGTGATTGACAAACTTCATTTCTCTTCTTCCAGAAAGTGCGTCAATTGGAAGCTGAGAACAATCGTCTCACTGTCCAAATCAAGGATATTGAAGTAGTTGAGAAAAAGGAGAGAAACAACCTCGCTGAACGTTTCGAAGCCGAGAGGGTGAGTTCCTCCCGTTTCCCAGAGTGATGTAGAAGGACGTGAATCATTTTTAAGGCTCGCCTCCGTAATGCTCTGGAAGATGCTCGTGAACAAGCAGCTAAATATGCAGTTGAACGTGATTCGGCTATCGGTGAACATGAGCGTCTAGCATCGAAAGTTGCCAAGCTGGAGAGGGATTTGAAAAAGGTTAGATCTCCTTGAATGACATTTTTTTCTCAAGTTAAAAGTGCTTTTTCAGTCCGAAGAGGATCGCCTCTCAGCCCTGTCTCTGGCAGAATCCAGCACTGCCAAGCAGAAGAACATGCAGAACAGACTCGACAAAGCCGAAGCAGATGTTGCCAACCTAGAAAAGGAGCTGGCTCGTCTCCGCATGCAGTTGGCTGCGCTCCAGAAGAACCTCGAAGACGAAAGTGTTCTGCGTGCGGCAGCGAATGCCAAAATCCAGGCATTGACTGAGGATTTGGAGTTCCAGAAGAAGCAGCATAAGTCGGTGAGTGGGCGGCCTCTCTTTTTTTGACAGATGGTCTTTTTTTGGTGAATCTTGAAAATCTTTGCTGTAGGCTCTCGAAGAAGTTCGCCACAAACGCCAAGTTGATATGACTACTTATGCCAAGCAAATCAACGATGAATACCAGTCTAAGCTTCAAGATCAGCTTGCTGAGATGCGCGCCCGTTTCCAGTCCCAACTGGCTGCTAATAAAGGAGCTTTTGAGGAGTCCTACAAGAACAAGGTGAGTTCCTTAATCTCATACAATTTCATTTTTGTTTGCTTTATAAATTTTGCCTGTTTGGTGTGTAAAATTTTCGTTATTTTCTCCAATTTTAGCTCAATGATGCCCGCGAACGAGCCGAAGCTGCTCATGATGAAGCAGCACGTATGCGAGTTCGTGTTCATGAGCTTGAGAAGAGTGGAAGCTCCCATGACTCACTGGTTAGTTTTTTATTTGTTTCAGTTTTGTTAATTGATTTTATTGATTGATTTGCTTACGTCTCTGTTTTCAGATTGAAGGACTCCGTCGCGAACTTGCCGATCTCAAGGATGAACTCGATCGCGCCAGAAGATCTTATCAGGAAAGACTTGATGGAAAGGTTTGTCACCTTGATGGCATTTTAGACTTCGTGGTTTGAGATCGATGGGGGTCATACGAACTGTTTAGGAACTACGCATTGCTGAACTGAACCGTGAAATTCAACGCATGATGGACGAGTTCCATGACTTGCTTGATGTGAAAATTCAACTGGACACTGAACTGAACACATACCGCATGTTGCTTGAGGTTAGCATCGATTTTTGGTTACTTTTAGTCAGAATTTGAAATCAAAATAATTCGATCAAACTACAGAGGTTAAGACACGTCAACTTGATGCGTTTGATCCACTTGACCCACTTCGCTATTGGTCGAATCAGTGGACTAACCAGTAGCGAAGCGATGAAGTGGATCAAGTGAGCGTACGCTTTGCTATTGGTCAGTTCAGTGTTTTGGCCAATATCCAAGTGTAAGTGGATCAAGGCGGGTTGGCGCGTGAGCCTCATTCTAAGTGTGCGTTTCATTTCAAGAAATAATAATCCTCTTACCATTCCAGTCTGAAGAAACGCGTCTCAACATTTCTGGAACTACTGGTGGTGACAAATCGCGTGATACAAGCATGACACATCATGTCTCATATTCGAGTGGGACTGGTAAGCCGTTAACGGCTGATTCTAATTACTCAGTTGAGAAAAGAGGCAAGATGTTATAGCCATTATTTGATGAGCCAGTTTCTTTGCCTCTTCTTTTTTTTCCAACAATTTTTGATGAGTTTTCATATCATCGTTTTGCAGGAGGTGGAGGTGCCCGCGGACTGAAGAGAGCTAGAGTGGAATGGGGAGGAGATGATGAACTCGATTTCCATCGTTTGCGTCAGAAGGTCAGCGGAGCGACAGTGAGATTGCCTTACCATTTGGGTTAGAGCTATAACTTTGTCTTTCTAGCTCCAAAAGCATGTTGATGGACCAGTTGGAATTGATGAGATCGATCCTAATGG